CCTTTTATTTGAATTGACTATCTGATTGAACCGTTTACCTTTCTTGAGCACTTGATATATTTTTAAGCTTGTTAAAAGTTAAGTGGAGGTATGGTTTTTTTTTGAGTGGAACTATAAAAAAGGAGAAAGGTGCTCTGTTTGAAAAATAATTGTGAGAGCCACTTTTAGGGAACTAAAAAAAAAAGAGAAAGAAAAAGAAAAAATAATGTTGGTGTTTGTATATATTATAAATAAAATTATTCATTTCTAGTGATAAATCATGCTTTGTCTATGCTAAAATAAATTGGGAGCTTGGTGTTAATATGACGTGAAGGTTAGGGTTTGATTCAACATAAGTGTGGGGTTTGAATCTGTGAAATTGTATATATTAAAGTGCTCATGGAGGTGTAACCACTATTATCCAAATTGTATCCTACCCGTCCCGTAGCCTACATTGCAACCAAAATCAAGTCCTACTTAATCTTTGACTGAATGAGCTCAATTAGTAGAATATTACACTATGGGAAAGCCTATGATACCTCTTCTGTGGCATATGAATTTTGATTATGAGAGTGAGTGAACTCTGTCTATCTTGAATTCCTATTTGTTTGTGAATTTTATTTTGTGTGGAACTACTCTCTATTCTTTTGGTGTGAGGGCACATTAATTGTGAAGGAAAGGTAATGATGTTGACCTCTGTGTTAGAGTAAGAGAGCAGGTTGTGAAAAATGCATGGTGCTTTTGAGTCGAGCTTTGAGACTAGGATGTTATGATAGAGCGCTTAATTTGCTTTAAATAGTCTTGGCGTGATGTGTTGGGATTGTTTGATGAAAAGGCCGTCCATATGTGAAGTGTAGTTTGATTGCTCGAGGACGAGCAATGGTTTAAGTGTGGGGTGTTGATGGTAGGCTATAAACCCGTATTTTAGCCGTAGTTTACATTCTAATTACTATATTTTACGTGTGCTCGAACTTAAATGATGGTGATTTGCACTTATTATGTGTTTTATGCTTGCAGGAAATGATTCCGAGTTAAAAGGATAAATTGGAGCTAAATCGAATAATTTGGAGCTTTGAAATCTAAGTAAAAGAATTAAATCGGGATCGCATCCGGGGCTCGTGAATCGGCGTTGCATACGGAAGTGGGAAGAAAGTGCAAGGGCTAGAACAAATGTACTAATGCGACGCATTAACCGTAGCAGTGTGCGACACATTAGTGCAAATGTGTGTCAAAAGTTGACAAGTTCAGAGATTGGGAGTTTTGTGGTCTGACAAGAAAATGCACTACTGCTGCACAGCCTGCGACGCATAGCGCCATGCACTAACACAAAAGTCTGTCAGACACTGGGAGTTCAGAGAGTTTGCAATTGTGTAAACTGCACTAATGGGATGCGTAGTGCAAAGCACTGTGCGACGCATGAAGTGTAAAAAGTTTGTAGGTTTTCTCACTTCGGCTCAAAGAGAGTAGTTTCATCTAAGTCCGTTCCTACTTGGTATAAATACTCTAAAAACACGTTTTTGAAGGACTTTTGACCTACAAAAGATTGGAGAACTAACCAAGTCAAGAAGATACAAGAATTCAACAAGATTTCAACCAACAAGCAGTGCAATACGGGAGTTTCGAATCATTATCATTGATGTCTTCTATGTTTTTAAACCTCATTGAGATGACTTTTTTCCATTGCCATGGAGTAAATTCCATTAGGGTATTGACAGATATGATGTTTTGACAACTTGATTAGGGATTCAATTCTTGATAATTATTGGAATTAATTGATGGAGTTTTAATTTGTATTGTGGAGTTATTTCTTATTTTGCTTATTCAAAAGAGCAGCTTGATATTGAATTGCTTTACATCTTATGCTCTAGTTTAAATTAGTGATTCAAATAAGTAATCGAAAGAGCCTCTTGAATTGTTAATAGAACTAGAAAATAGGGAAATATTCGTGAGAAGTTACCCTTTAGACCATAACCATCATTTTATTCGTTGCAATTGTTTACCGTGCTTCAATTGGATTAATTACTGAAATTAACATTTAACCGAAAGAGGAACATTAACTTCAAGTGTAATCTGATTATCTGTTGAATTCGCGAGAATCAATCGTATTATAGAGTAAACTAACTCAAGAATTGGGTCTCGTGTCAATTATCTTGCACATATCTAGTCAATTACCCTTATTTCTCTCATTGATATTTCTTCGTTGCTCATCTGCAGTCTTTTGTGATCAATTATTAATTGCTTAATTTTTAGTAGTTAATAGTAGTTGATAATCATCAAATCAAGTGTTAATTTTCCTGGATAGTAATCAATTGAACATTATTCGAACACTGTTTAAATTCAATCCTAGTGGAGACGATAATTAAACTATATTATTTTTTACTAGCGAGCAATAATTGTGTGTTGTGTTTTGCGCTCGTCAGGACTAATAGAGAAGGGTACAAGAAGGCTAAGAAATAGTTGAAGTTAAGGTCATGAGGTCTAAGACTGCAACGATTGGTCGTCTATACGAAGAACTAGGGACAAAGGTGGGGACAAGAAGTTGTTCTGACTGGCTAAGGTGAGGGAAAGGAAGGCTCATGATCTGAACCAAGTGAGGTGCATCAAATACAAGGAAGGCAGAGTCTTAATGGAAGAGGCAAAGATCAAGCAAAGATGGCAGACCTAAATTCCTTAATAAAGAGGGGGGGCATGAATATTGTGTTGGGTGATTTGGAGCATTCCGAGAGTCATTACGATTTTAGGTATTGTAGGTGCATCAATATTGAGGAGGTCGCAGGGATGTGCGTAAGATGAGTAAGGGGCAGAGCAACCGGGCCCGTTGAGATCCCGGTAAAATTTTGGAGGTATACGGGTAGGGTAGGCTTGGAGTGGCTGACTGGGTTGTTTAACGTCATTTTTAGGACGAAGAAGCTTCCCGAAGAATGAAGGTAGAGTACGATGATTCTGATGTACAAGAACAAAAGGGATATCCAAAATTGCAACAACTATAGGGGTATCAAGCTACTTAGTCACACTACGAAAGTCTGGGAGAGGGTGGTGGAAGTGAGGGTAAAGAGGACTGTGTCTATATCCGAGAATCAATTTGGTTTCATGCAGGTTGTTCGACTACGGAAGCCATCCATATTTTTAGAAGGTTAGTGGAGCAGTATAGGGAAATGATGAAGGATTTGCATATAGTGTTTATTGACCAAGGAAAGCGTACGATAAGGTCCCTAGGGAGGTTTTTTGGAGATATTTGGAGGCTAAATGTGTTCTGATAGAATACACTAGGGGTGGTTAAGGATATGCGTGATGGAAATAAGACTCGGGTAAGGACATGGGAGGAGACTCAGACCATTTTCAGGCTGGGATGGGATTACACCAAGGATCTGCTCTCAGCTCGTTCCTGTTTTCATTGGCGATAGATGCACTGACACACCATATTCAAGGGGAGGTGCCATGGTGTATGTTATTCGCTGATGATATAGTACTAATTGATGAAACGCGAGACGACGTTAACGAGAAGCTGGAGGTTTGGAGACAGGCCCTAGAGTATAAAGGTTTCAGGTTCATTAGGACTAAGACAAAATACATAGAGTGCAAGTTCAGCGACGTAGGGGGGAGCAGACGTGGACGTGAGGCTTGACTCACAAGCCATCCCCAAGAGAGGAAGTTTCAAGTATCTTGGGTCAGTTATTCAAGGGAATTGGGAGATTGACGAGGACGTCACACACCGTATAGAGGCAGGGTGGATGAAATGGAGGTTAGCATCCGGCGTCTTGTATGACAAGAATGTGCCACCAAAACTAAAAGGTAAGTTCTACAAAGTGGTTGTTAGACCGATTATGTTGTATGTGGCTGAGTGCTGGCCAGTCAAGAACCCCCATATCCAGAAGATGAACGTAGCTGAAATGAGGATCTTGAGATAGATATGCGGGCACACTAGGTTGGATAAGGTTAGGAATGAGGATATTCAGGTGAAGGTGGGGCGTGGCCTACATGGAGGATAAGATACGAGAAGCGAGGCTTAGATGGTTCAGGCATGTGAAAAGGAGAAGACTAGATGCCCCAGTTAGGAGGTGTGAACGGTTGGCTTTGGCGGGTATGAGAAGAGGTAGAGGGCGGCCTAAGAAGTATTGGGGAGAGGTAATCAGGCAGGACATGGTGCGATTTCAGCTTACTGAGGACATGACCCTTGATAGGAGGGTGTGGAGGTCAAGAATTAGGGTAGAAGGCTAATAGGTAGTAGGGCGTTTTTCCGACCCTTACCGGGTTGTTTAGGGCTAGTCTGGTAGTATCTTGCCATTGTTCCTATATTGCTAGTATTATAGCTATTTCTTACTATCTTCCGCTTCGATTTTCTAATAGTTTGTCGTGGTTAATGTTTGTTGCTATTGTTAGTGCTATTGCTTTCTTCCATCTATTTTTTCTAGTTCTTACATTGTTGTTATCATTTTTTTGCTATTGTTGTTAGATATTTGATTGTTTTCTATTCATCCTCTCGAGCCGTTGGTCTTTCGGAAACAACCTCTCTACCTTCCCAGAGTAGGGTTACGGCGTGTGTACACATTATCCCCAGACCCCACTTATGAGATTTCACTAGGTTTGTTGTTGTACCTTCCCTAGATCCACAGCAAGCCATATAAAGCTCATCATATTATGTAAAATTTATAAATGATTAATTTAAGAGTCAACCTCAATGTGATCTTATAGCTAAGAGAGCTGTCAACTGGAACTACTTACTTGGTAACTTTAACTTTAATACCATGGAATTCAGATGTTACCAAATCTATAAGTTGGAAATTTTATTCACAATCTTGAAACTTAACGAGTTCATAAACCTTTCAATGGAGCAATTTTGCTATACTTTCAGATACTTCTGGAGTTCTTACAAGGTTGCAATTTAAATTGGAATTCTTCTAAGTTTATAGTACCCCCAAGAATGAAATATAAATTGGATAGCAGAACCTAAACATGCAGAGGAAGATGGAATCAAATCCACAGTATTAAAAGACAAGTAATAAATGTGTTTCATTTTCATATTTGAAGCTCAAAAGCAGTCCCTTGAAATGCTATAGCAATATATGCGTACATGTTATACATAGTCCGGAATCAAATAAGTTGGGTTTTACTCACATCTTTGGAAAAAGAATCATGTCACAAATGCTTGCAAGTGAAGTTGAGTTATGATGCAATGGCGATGAATATGGCACAAAACAATTAGTAATAAGGACGATGAGACCACAGCACTTCGTTCCGTGGCTCAAACAATCAGTTTTTCCGGAGTAGAAAGTTGTTATTGAGGAAGAACAGGAGGTGAAATCATACGAGTGTTGTATGATTGACAGTGTCTGCATTTTTGCCCGATGGATGTGGAAGAATACTTCAGTTGTGTCATTACAGTCATTACACAGAATCCAAACCTGCAAGTAAACAAGTTAGTTAAGAGAAACCATAGGTATTCATCATGTAAATGAAAACCAATAGCATCAGAGGCAGAGCCAGGATTTGAAGTAGAGACGGATCTACCTTATGAGGTAGGGGTACCATAGCACCCGTTCGCTTCGCCAAAATTCTTACTATGTATACAATATCTCTGTGAAGAAACGTATAAATGGATAGAGTGGCACCCAAAAGTCACAAAGTGGAAGCGGGTGCCATTGGTTCAGCCTTTCCTTTGAAGGCTTTCCTTGGCCTCATGAATGCAAGTTTGATTCCCTGTTGGAGCAGCTCCTTTGATTTTTCCTTTTTTCTACTTATTAAGATTTTCTTTATTTTCAGCTTGAGCCCTAGCGCCTCACCTCTTTTCCTTCTTTTTCGGTTATTTCCCTCCTTTTATTACTTGCTAAGCCTCTCTTCTTCATTTCTTTAACTTTCAGTACTCATTTTGTTTCTATCATTTTACCTTACTTTATGAACAATTATTTTCTATAGGTAATTTGAATTGATGTTAATTAGCATATAATTTCTTTATTTTTAATGAAACGATATTAATTTATATATTGGAATATAATTTGAACAATATCTTCTATTGGGTTTTGAAAAAACATTAAATGGCTTGATTGATAGTCGTTTTGAGTCTAATATGATAGGTTGAATGTTGAAAGTTTTTCTTTGAAAATAATTGTCATATAACTCAACAATTAAGATGGAAAAATAAACAAAGAACAATACAAGTAAATTAATCTAGTCAAACAAAAAATATATAGTGTAGTTAAGGTACTCTTTAAGCAAATATTTATATTGGAGGCGCTCTTTCATGAAATATTATTTTTCTTTTGCATTTTTATTTAGAATGTTTTTAAATTAAGCGTTAAAAATTTGAACTAAAATCGAACTTATTTGCTTTGTGAATGAAAGGCCTATTCAAATTAACCAAAAACTAACCGAACTAACCAATTATTCCTAATATGTCTTTGTAGCTACTGACATGTATATTGTATGCATAACATGGTGGCACCCGCAACCTTCGAATCCTGGATCCGCCTCTGATTTGAAGCTTATGGGTTCGGGATTCTAGTCCTTTTATGTTAGATGGGTTCGAAGTTAATAAATTATCCATATTCAACAGATATTTTAAGATAAATACAGAGTTTGGACCAAAGTTATTGGGTTCGACTGAACCTGTAGCCAAAAGGGCTAGCTCTGCCCCCGAATAGCATGGACTTTTACATGCACTAAGGCACTGTGGAACATTAAACACCCAACCCTCCTTGCGTGTCCTCAGTAATTAACAGCCAAAACAACTACATGTAACAAATATGGGGTTAAGAAAAGGAAGTACCTTCTTATATCTGAGATCTTCAGGCATGATTGTTTCTTCAATCTGAAAAGAAGAAATTTTTACTTTTAAGGTAGGACTGAATACATCTAGCTAGTTAAACAGCAGTCTTGGAAATAAAGATTAGAGAAACCTTACTCTCCGGCCCCAGCCCCAACAACCGAAAGTTAAACAAACAAAGCCATGACGTAACCATGGAGGTGTAGCCACTATTATCCAAATTGTATCCTAACCGTCCCGTAGCCTACATTGCAACCAAAATCAAGTCCTACTTAATCTTTGACTGAATGAGCTCAATTAGTAGACTATTACACTATGGGAAAGCCTATGATACCTCTTCTGTGGCATATGAATTTTGATTATGAGAGTGAGTGAACTCTGTCTATCTTGAGTTCCTATTTGTTTGTGAATTTTATTTTATGTGGAACTACTCTCTATTCTTTTGGTGTGAGGGCACATTAATTGTGAAGGAAAGGTAATGATGTTGACCTCTGTGTTAGAGTAAGAGAGCAGGTTGTGAAAAATGCATGGTGCTTTTGAGTCGAGCTTTGAGACTAGGATGTTATGATAGAGTGCTTAATTTGCTTTAAATAGTCTTGGCGTGATGTGTTGGGATTGTTTGATGAAAAGGCCGTCCATATGTGAAGTGTAGTTTGATTGCTCGAGGACGAGCAATGGTTTAAGTGTGGGGTGTTGATGGTAGGCTATAAACCCGTATTTTAGCCGTAGTTTACATTCTAATTACTATATTTTACGTGTGCTCGAACTTAAATGATGGTGATTTGCACTTATTATGTGTTTTATGCTTGCAGGAAATGATTCTGAGTTAAAAGGATAAATTGGAGCTAAATCGAATAATTTGGAGCTTTGAAGTCTGAGTAAAAGAATTAAATGGGGATCGCATCCGGGGCTCGTGGACCGGCGTTGCATACGTAAATGGGAAGAAAGTGCAAGGGCTAGAACAAATGTACTAATGCGATGCATTAAGTGTAGCAGTGTGCGACACATTAGTGCAAATGTGTGTCAGATGTTGACAAGTTCAGAGACTGGGAGTTTTGTGGTCTGACAAGAAAATGCACTATTGCTGCACAGCCCGCGCCGCATAGTGCCACGCACTAACACAAAAGTCCGTCAGACACGGGGAGTTCAGAGAGTTTGCAACTGTGTAAACTACACTAATGCGACGCGTAGTGCAAAGCACTGTGCGACGCATGAAGTGTAAAAAGTTTGTAGGTTTTCCCACTTCGGCTCAAAGAGGGTAATTTCATCCGAGTTCGTTCCTACTTGGTATAAATACTCTGAAAACACGTTTTTTGAAAGACTTTTGACCTACAAAAGATTGGAGAACTAACCAAGGCAAGAAGACACAATAATTCAACAAGATTTCAACCAACGATCACTGCAATACGAGAGTTTATGTCGAATCATTATCATTGATGTCTTCTATGTTTTTAAACCTCATTGAGATGACTTTTTCCATTGCTATGGAGTAAATTCCATTAGGGTATTGACAGATATGATGTTTTGACAACTTGATTGGGGATTCAATTCTTGATAATTGTTGGAATTAATTGATGGAGTTTTAATTTGTATTGTGGAGTTATTTCTTATTTTCCTTTTTCAAAAGAGGAGCTTGATATTGAATTGCTTTACATCTAATGCTCTAGTTTAAATTCGTGATTCAAATAGGTAATCGAAAGAGCCTCTTGAATTGTTAATCGAACTAGAAAATAGGGAAATATTCGTGAGAAGTTACCCTTTAGACCATAACCATCATTTTATTCGTTGTAATTATTTACCGTGCTTCAATTGGATCAATTACTGAAATTAACGTTTAATCGACAGAGGAACATTAACTTAAGTGTAATCTGATTATCTGTTGAATTCGCGGGAATCAACCGTATTATAGAGTAAACTAACTCAAGAATTGGGTCTCGTATCAATTATCTTGCACATGTCTAGTCAATTACCCTTATTTCTCTCATTGATATCTCTTCGTTGCTCATCTGCCGTCTTTTGTGATCAATTGTTAATTGCTTAATTTTTAGTAGTTAATCGTAGTTGATAAACATCAAATCAAGTGTTAATTTTCCTGGATAGTAATCAACTGAACATTATTCGAACACTGTTAAAATCCAATCCTTGTGGAGACGATAATTAAACTATACTATTTTTTACTAGCGAGCAATAATTGTGTGTTGTGTTTTGCGCTCGTTAGGACTAATAGAGAAGGGTACAAGAAGGCTAAGAAATAGTTGAAGTTAAGGTCACGGAGGCTAAGACTGCAACGATTGGTCTTCTATATGAAGAACTAGGGACAAAGGTGGGGACAAGAAGTTGTTCCGACTGGCTAAGGTGAGGGAAAGGAAGGCTCGTGATCTGAACCAAGTGGGGTGCATCAAAGACGAGGAAGGCAGAGTCTTAATGGAAGATGCATTAAATTGGATAGCAGAACCTAAACATGCAGAGGAAGATGGAATCAAATCCACAGTATTAAAAGACATGTAATAAATGTGTTTCATTTTCATATTTGAAGCTCAAAAGCAGTCCCTTGAAATGCTATACCAATATATGCGTACATGGTATACATAGTCCGGAATCAAATAAGTTGGGTTTTACTCTCAGATCTTTGGAGAAAGAATCATGTCACAAATGCTTGCAAGTGAAGTTGAGTTATGATGCAATGGCGATGAATATGGCATAAAACAATTAGTAATAGGGACGATGAGACCACAGCACTTCGTTCCGTAGCTCAAACAATCAGTTTTTCCGGAGTAGAAAGCTGTTATTGAGGAAGAACAGGAGGTGAAATCATACGAGTGTTGTATGATTGACAGTGTCTGCATTTTTGCCCGATGATGTGGAAGAATACTTCAGTTGTGTCATTACAGTCATTACACAGAATCCAAACCTGCAAGTAAACTAGTTAAGAGAAACCATAGGTATTCATCATGTAAATGAAAACCAATAACATTAGAGGCAGAGCCAGGATTTGAAGCTTATGGGTTCGGGATTCTAGTCCTTTTATGTTAGTGGGTTCGAAATTAATAAATTATCCATATTCAACAAATTCTTTTTACACAAATATAGAGTTTGGACCAAAGTTATTGGGTTCGACCGAACCTGTAGCAAAAACAACTACATGTAACAAATATGGGGTTAAGAAAAGGAAGTACCTTCTTATATCTGAGATCTTCAGGCATGATTGTTACTTCAATCTGAAAAGAAGAAATTTTTACTTTTAAGGTAGGACTGAGTACAGCTAGTTAGTTAAACAGCAGTCTTGGAAATAAAGATTAGAGAAACCTTAATCTCCGGCCCCAGCCCCAACAACCGAAAGTTAAACAAACAAAGCCATGACGCAATTCCTTTCATTTTCCAGAGTCCTTAAACTGACATAGCTAAAGAATTAAGCATACAGCATTGCCAACTTAAGAAGTAAAGGAATCATAACCAAAACCTTAAAACTGCCAACAGATTTGCGAATTCAGATGTGGACTTAACATAAATTTATTGAAAACAGTTGAGCAAAAAGGTCTTATAGTCATCCAAATATCTATGTACCAATGCTTAACCTGTTCTCAAGTCATTATGCATGCACACAATTTTCGATGAAAAGATTATGCATCCTCAAGCAATTGGACAATCCCAAGCATTTGGGACTGATCAAGATTCAAGAAATGGGACTTGGATCATATAGTTAAACTTGCAAGTGGTAATGCTCTACCTGTTCTGAGGTCCGATTCTTTAAAAACAGAAGTAGTTCTAGAATGTGCTTAAAACAGAAATCAGCCATGAAAAAGTTCATTAAGCATGCAAGCAATTCCTACGATAAGATGCACCCTAAGGAAATTGGACGTGGACGAATTTCCTGAAGGTTAAAATTTTAACCTACCTCTTCATCCATTCGTTTCCAAGCTTTGGACATGTCTATAATTGATCTAGAACATATTGGGCAGCAGTATCTGAGTTAAAGAAAAATGGGTCAGTAAACATAAAACTTCTCTTTCCATCCAACAGGACTCAAAAAACAACATAAATAGATAAATACGGAAGTGATTACTTGTCACGCTTTATCATCTCGTGGTAGCACTCAGTGTGCATTGTGTGCCCACATTTCATCACACTTGTGTCTTTCAGAGAATCAAAGAGAAACTGCATTAAAAGAATTAGAGCATTATGAATGACAGGAACATTTAAAGGCAGGATCCACAGCAAGAAGACTACAGTTACGCAACATACCTCATAACAAATGGGACAATGATGCCGCATGGAGTTCTCCACGCACGAGTGGTTATTACGCAGGCTAACTGAATAACAAGAGCCTGCAGAATGAATTCCATAAGTAGGTGAAGAAGCAAATGTACCAAACAACACGAATGAAGAAGCCACAACATTATGTGAGTGCCACTGTGTGCAACACGAAATCACAAAGAAGAAAGGGATATTTTCACCAGACAATTGGCGACTTCCCTATATGAGCGATAGAAATGAAATTGAAAAGCTTTACTCAGTTCTCTTACTGTAGATTCTCTATTTGCATTCTCCAACCAATTAATTAGCCAGTAGATATAAGAAAGCAAAAGCTTGGTCACAACTGGTATTTTCAACAAGCACAACTAAACAAAGCATCAAACCATAGTTGCACAACCAGATCTTTGGAAACATTGAGGACAATCCTACATTCCAATATTTGAAGGGAGAAAAACAACAGAGAGATCTGTAAAATTGAAGAAATATGTAAATGCAATTTGTAATATGCGGGTATAATCACTTACTAAATGACATCTATGCCTCTAAAGGTGTAAATAAAATCTTAACGTTCACCATAGTCATCTTAGCATGTACACTTCCAAGGTAGAGAATCAAGAAACATATTAATGAAGCATACAAGAAAAAGAAAACAGAATTTTCCACAAAGGCTCGAATCCTAAAAAATAGGAAATTGTGATGCGTATGTACCACACTTGCTGCAATGAAAGAAGTTCTCGCGACCACCAACTCTGTGAAAAGAATACATGTCAGACGGGGAACTTCCAAA